AACCATGTGGTTGAGTTTGATCATACACAATCAGCTGAGACAGGCTGTAATGCCTACTCTTGGACAAATTCAGATATGAAATAATGAGCATTGAGAAGACAGTGTCAAAATTGCTACTCTCGACTGAATATCTCTCAGAAATGCATTGTTGAAACTGCTTAAAACTGAAAACCACCTTTGTTCATCCATTTTTGACGTCTTATTTCAAAGGGAATAATGTGGAAATAAAAGATCAATAGCTAAGAATGAATAAGGTGAAGACTTGACAAATATACATTTGTACAAAGAATATATTATATCAGAGAGGTTCAATACTTTCACGATAAGAGTTAGCACATGTTGCTGTAATGCCTGTGTTAATTTTACTTTAAGAGTTATCGTTCTTGTTTGAAGTAGTTTTCAAATGCCAATATGGAAACTGTTGATAGGCACATGAATCTCCATTTGGTCGTCCAGGAATTGCACGATTGTGTCATGTATGATAGTGTACATGAGACTTGTGGGGACCGGCTGTGTTGGGAATCACCATACATACAACCAGAGGTTACCTCCTTTTTGTGCCATTGGTTTGTGGCTTGTTATTCCAAGATGTACCCTGCTATTACATCTGGCAATATTACCACCTGATGAATTCACTCATGCTACATGTGTGTGGTGTGGAGACACTATTAAACCTCTCACCTCAATTATAAGTATACATTCTCAGCATGTTTATGGTTTCTAATATCCATAAACATTGAATGAAAAATAGCTTATTCAAGCTGTATTTCTGAGCTGAGTGCACCCCAGGCAGCAGCAGCTAGTTAAGGGCCTATCTAGGGACCATCTACACCGGCCTGACACTGTCAGGAACAATTACTGTGAGATAGGAGATAACTGTGCTGTACACTGGGCTATTGTTACTGTTGAAGTCACAGGAAAGGCACGTATTGTCCAGCCAGGACTCCTCAGGAACTGATTCCCAACGGTCGGTCGCCTACTACACCTCGGTGTTCATCTCTACCAGGGATCTCCAGAATACGTCCCTCATGGGTTTGAAGGAGTTTATACGTTGCATTAACATCGGGTTGAAACTGGTTCCATGGCACTTGGGATAAATGTGCAAACCTGAACCAGTTTGTTGATGTTTGATCAGTAAAAGGTAATTATTTCTTCGAACAGAGTTTACTGCAGGATGGTTTCTACCTAAGCTAGAGTGTCAAGTTATCATATATAACTCATGTAATGTCCAAAAGATTGACCCATGAAGGTCCGGGTTAGAATGAACCTTCAGTAACCCATGCTTGTCGTAAGAGGCGACTATTAGGATGGGGCAGTCAGGCTCGCTGGCTTGGTTGACACATATCATCGGTTCCCAGTTGCGCAGATGGATGCTCATGCTGTTGATCACTGGATTGTCTGGTTCAGACTCATTTATTTACAGACTGCCGCCACATAGCTGGAATATTACTGAGTGCGGCATAAAACTAAACTCACTCACTCCAAAAGATTGCAGTGCTCATGATCAGGAGACTGACTACAATGATCCAGCATTTTAACATAGAACCCATTGCTAATGGATATATTACAACAAGCTGCTGACTGACCGTGTGACCCTCCCATGAGGAGACCTGAGTGTTAATATGTCCAGGATATGTGTGATCTTCAGCCAGAGTGACAGGTTTGTGATATATACACCATATGCTGGAGTCTTGGAGGGAAGGGCAAGGAGGTCCTGCCTTCAGTTGTCTCACCAGTAGTATTTGGACAGGCCATACGTGATTTATACAACCTTGTTGAGAGCATTTATTCCAGCACTCTGGGAGTCATATTGGACAATAAAAGTCACTTTATGAATTTCCATAAGTTGGTTGAAACCACCATTGCTCACTGACAGCTGCATGGTCACCAGTTCGTTTGGGGCATTGTGTGTGGCATTGTTTTCATTGTGTTACCATGGTTACATTCAGGTCCGCACAGTGTCTTACATAAGGCTACATGTCATAACATCTTTTAAGGTGAATATGAAGTGTCAGTACATTGCTAACCTGCACAGGATGGACATTTGTGATTATAAAACACAAGATGCATGGATTTCAGCTGTAACACTTACGTGTCTGGATTAGAACTGGTCTCCAATAACCATTGCCATGCTTGTTGTAAGAGGTGACTGATTGGATTGAGTGGTTAAACTGTGTATCCTTGCATGGAGAGAATGTGGGACATAAAGCACTGGTACATTCATATTGGTGGAAATCTCTCTGTCTCTGACTGTCTCTCTCAGTGTCCCTCTCTGTCTCTCTCTCTCTCTCTCTCTCTCTCTCTCTCTCTCTCTCTCTCTCAGGGTGGTCAGGCTCGCTGACTTGGCTGACACGTTATAATCGTATCCCAATTGCGTAGTTGATGCTCATGCCAATGATCACTGGATTGTCTGGTCCAGAGTCAATTATTTACAGACCACTGCCAAATACCTGGAATATTGCTGAGTCCAGCATAAAACTAAACTCACTCACCCCTCTTTCCTGCTCCCTTTTGAAGGAACACCTGTTTCTTTTCTCTACCTCTTTTTTTTTATCTATCTTTCCTTTTTCTGTCTCCCTCTTTCTTTTTCTCTTTTGTCTCTATATCTTTCTATCTTTCTTTCTCTCTTCTTTGGAGGAACATCTTTCTTTCTTTTTCTGTTTTTTTCTGTTTCTCCCCCTCTCTCTCATTAACATTAAAGCAAGTCATGCTCATATGTTACAGTTTTCAGTGATAAGAAGTGTTGAGTATATTCCTGTTTTCATCGTTTTCATGAAATAGGTATACTTGTAACACACCAGAAACACCATGCAGCCACCTGGATATGGACAGTGTGTTCCAAGAGGGGTCAGGCCTTGAATATGATATCTTACCCATGATTTTTGCTAGGTCTTGTGGTCATTTTATGGTGTGTCGTTGTTTATGTCTCACTCTGAACCTGTTTCTAGCAGAAGCCGGTTTTCCAAGTGTACATATTACCATGACTCACATTGCCCACAAACACTGAGTGTTGAATGTTACAGTATGTCATGTACTTCACCTGTACAGTTACTGACTTTTGTCCAAGATGTCATGTATGTTGTCCGTTCCTACACAGACAAATTGTTAGTTGTTTACTCTTAGTAAAGTTGCTTTCCTGGTGCACAGTTTATTCTTCAATCTCATTAGGTCTACTGATCACAGTATTGTGATCACTATGTATTGATCAGTGTGTTCTGGTCATTCTGTATTGATGATTGTGTATTGACCACTGGGTATTGATTGCTATATTGCAAGCTGATGGTGAGACGATGATCACTATGTATTGATCATTGTATTGCAGGTTGATGGTGAGACGGTGAACACTATTGATCACTGGGTATTGATCATTGTATTGCAGGTTGATGGTAAGACGATGATCACTGGGTATTGATCACTATATTGCGGGTTGATGGTGAGACAATGATCACTGGGTATTGATTGCTATATTGGAGGTTGATTGTGAGATGATGATCACTGGGTATTGATTGCTATATTGGAGGTTGATGGTGAGATGATCACTGGGTATTGATTGCTATATTGAAGGTTGATGGTGAGATCACTGGGTATTGATCACTGGGTATTGATTGCTATATTGGAGGTTGATGGTGAGACGATGATCACTGGGTATTGATTGCTTTATTGGAGGTTGATGGTGAGACGATGATCACTGGGTATTGATCACTGTATTGCGGGTTGATGGTGAGACAATGATCACTGGGTATTGATTGCTATATTGGAGGTTGATGGTAAGACGGTGATCACTGGGTATTGATCACTGGGTATTGATTGCTATTTTGGAGGTTGATGGTGAGATGATGATCACTGGGTATTGATCACTGATTGCTATATTGGAGGTTGATGGTGAGACGATGATCACTGGGTATTGATCACTGGGTATTGATTGCTAGGTTGATGATGGTTGAGATATATTGAGACGGTGATCACTGGGTATTGATCACTGGGTATTGATTGCTATATTGGAGGTTGATGGTGAGATGATGATCACTGGGTATTGATCACTGGGTATTGATTGCTATATTGGAGGTTGATGGTGAGACGATGATCACTGGGTATTGATCACTGGGTATTGATTGCTATATTGGAGGTTGATGGTGATGATGATGATCACTGGGTATTGATTGCTATATTGGAGGTTGATGGTGAGACGATGATCACTGGGATCACTGATCACTGGGTATTGATTGCTATATTGGAGGTTGATGGTGAGACGATGATCACTGGCTATTGATTGCTATATTGGAGGTTGATGGTGAGACGGGTATGATCACTGGGTATTGATTGCTATATTGAGGTTGATGGTGAGACGATGATCACTGGGTATTGATCACTACTGTATTGCAGGGTTGATGGTAAGATCAATGATCACTGGGTATTGATCACTGGGTATTGATTGATCACTGGGTTGATGGTTGATATTGCATTGATTGATGGTGAGATGATCACTGGTATGATTGCTATATTGATCACTGGGTATTGATCACTGTATTGGTATTGATGGTGAGGTTGATGGCATTGATCACTGGCATTGATCACCGTACTGCATTGTTGATGGTGAGAAACAGCATTGATCACTTGATGCATTGATCACTGTTGATTGCTATATTGATTGATGGTGAGACGATGATCACTTTGCATATTGAATACTGGGCATTGAATACTATATTGAGGTTGATGGTGAGGACACCGATTGATGGTGAGACTATCACTGGGCATTGATCACTGTGCATTGATGACTCTGTATTGATCACTGGGTATTGATCACTGTATTGCAGGTTGATGATGAGACAGTGATCACTATGTGTATTGATCACTGTATTGGAGATTGATTGATGAGACGGTGATCACTGGGTATTGAACACTGTATTGCAGGTTGATGGTGAAACAGTGATCACTATGTATTGATCACTGTGTATTGATGACTCTGTATTGATCACTGGGTATTGATCACTGTATTGCAGGTTGATGGTGAGACAAGGGAACTAGGAACCATGTCCTGCTATGACACCCTGGGGTACAGGGGCAGCCCCAGCCGCTCTCCCTTGCGGGCCGTCCACGACCTGACAACAATGTACCCCGACTCGGACAGCGGTATCAGGTCAGTAGGCACTTGTCAACTGTGAGAGATGTTGTCAGTAGGCACTTGTCACCTGTATGAGGTGATGTCAGTAGGCACTTGTCACCTCCTGTATGAGGTGATGTCAGTAGGCACTTGTCACCTGTATGGGGCGATGTCAGTAGGCACTTGTCACCTGTGTGAGATGTTGTCAGTAGGCACTTGTCACCTGTATGAGGTGATGTCAGTAGGCACTTGTCATCTCCTGTATGGGCTGATGTCAGTAGGCACTTGTCACCTGTATGGGTTGATGTCAGTAGGCACTTGTCACTTCCTGTATGGGGGCGATGTCAGTAGGCACTTGTCACCTGTATGGGGGGTGATGTCAGTAGGCACTTGTCACCTGTATGGGGTGATGTCAGTAGGCACTTGTCACATGTATGGGGGTGATGTCAGTAGGCACTTGTCACCTGTATGGGTGATGTCAGTAGGCACTTGTCACCTCTTGTATGGGGCAATGTCATTAGGCACTTGTCACCTCCTGTATGGGGCTGATGTCAGTATGCATTTGTCACCTGTATGGGGTAAGTAGGCACTTGACACTTCCTGTATGGGGCGATGTCAGTAGGCACTTGTCACCTCTTGTATTGGCGATGTCAGTAGGCACTTGTCACCTTGTATGGAGCGATGTCAGTAGACACGTCACCTGTCAACCAGTAGGCACTTTCAGGAATCTTCAACCTTTTCAGGAATCTTTGCCAACAACACATAATGAAATAGATTTCACATAATTTCACATCCTTTACTTTCTCAGCTCTACATTCCGGACAAAATCCCGAGTCTTCACCACAGATGATTTTTCAATGGCTCCAACTAGACTTACAAGGTCAAGGTCAATGTCAAGGCTGAATACCGGTAGCCGAGATACCTCCCCAACTGGAAGTGTAGTGTCACTGACCATGCCCACAGAATACTCTGTCCGCAGTCTCCATGACAACCTAGAAGACAGTGAGACACGGAGGTCTGTCCTGATGCACAAACTGAAGGAAGCTCAGGAGACACTTTCAGTGAGTACTTGTGTGCAGACGGATTGCTAGTATCGAAGTCAGTACCTGTGTGTGGATGGATTGATGTTGTCACAGTGAGTACCTGTGTGTGGATGGATTGCTAGTGTCCCAGTGAATACCTGTGGGTGGGTGGATGGATTGCTAGTGTCACAGTGAGTACCTGTGTGTGGATGGATTGCTAGTGTCACAGTGAATACCTGTGGGTGGATGGATTGCTAGTGTCACAGTCAGTACCAGTGTGTGGATGGATTGATGTTGTCACAGTGAATACCTGTGTGTGGATGGATTGCTAGTGTCACAGTGAGTACCTGTGTGTGGATGGATTGCTAGTGTCCCAGTGAATACCTGTGTGTGGATGGATTGCTAGTGTCCCAGTGAATACCTGTGTGTGGATGGATTGCTAGTGTTCCAGCGAGTACCTGTGTGTTGATGGATTGCTAGTGTCCCAGTGAATACCTGTGTGTGGATGGATTGCTAGTGTTCCAGTGAGTACCTGTGTGTGGATGGATTGCTAGTGTCCCAGTGAGTACCTGTGTGTTGATGGATTGCTAGTGTTCCAGTGAGTACCAGTGTGTGGATGGATTGCTAGTGTCACAGTGAATACCTGTGTGTGGATGGATTGCTAGTGTCACAGTGAGTACCTGTGTGTGGATGGATTGCTAGTGTCCCAGTGAATACCATGTTGCTAGTAGCCCTGTGTGTGGATGGATTGCTAGTGTCCCAGTGAATACCTGTGTGTGGATGGATTGCTAGTGTCCCAGTGAATACCTGTGTGTGGATGGATTGCTAGTGTCCCAGTGAGTACCTGTGTGTTGATGGATTGCTAGTGTCCCAGTGAGTACCTGTGTGTGGATGGATTGCTAGTGTCCCAGTGAATACCTGTGTGTGGATGGATTGCTAGTGTCCCAGTGAGTACCTGTGTGTTGATGGATTGCTAGTGTCCCAGTGAATACCTGTGTGTGGATGGATTGCTAGTGTCCCAGTGAGTACCTGTGTGTGGATGGTCATTGAATACCTATGGATTGCTAGTGTCCCAGTGAGTACCTGATGTACTGCTAGTGTCCCAGTGAATACCTGTGTGTTGATGGATTGCTAGTGGCTATTGTTGCAGTGAGTACATCTATGGGGTTGTTTTGCTAATCCTGCTTTCAGTAGCAGTGTGTCAAACTATTCCTGTTTTTGCAGCAAGTACCTGCACGTACACATGAGTGTATGGATGGACATATACCTTTATGTATGTTATTCAGTTGTTAAAGGTCATGTCCCGAAGATTGACATGACTGTATGGTGTGTATGACTGACAGCTGTCTGAATGTTGTCCTTGTTCTCACCCAGCCACCTCATTCATACATCAGACACAGTTCCATGTTGTATGTCCTTGCAGCTACAGAACAGCAGGCTGTCCAAGATAGAAACATCAGCCAAGGACAATGCTGTGATTGTAGAGGACCTGAAGTTTAAGGAGAGAGTAAGTATTTGTCCTAGCACTACATAGTTATATTACACAGTAGCATCTCCTGTCCTGCTGGGCGTTGTTTGATGCAGAGATTACGATCATCATGTGTACTAAACCAGGAGTATCAGTCGGCTGTGCACACTTTTAACCTACTGGTGATTCAGTTAAAACATACCCAATGAATAAATTCAAACAAATTTGATGCAGTGATTGGAAGAATTATGTCTTCAACTATTACTTTGTTAATAACATATGGGGTGGTGGGGTAGCCTAGTGGTCAAAGCGTTGGCTCGTCACACCGAAGACCAGGGTTCGAATCCCCACATGGGTACAATGTGTGAAGCCCATTTCTGGTGTTCCCGCCGTGGATGTTGCTGGAATATTGCTAAAAGCGGCATAAAACCAAACTCAGTCAGTCAGTCAGTTAATAACATATGGAATAATATATTCCAATATTGCTCTATTTTTATATTTTCTATAATGTATTGAATATAATCAGAATAATAATATGCAGACCAGTTTGGTACAGCAAAATGTTATGGTTGGATGTTTTATGTATGGAGCTATTTGACAAGTCACCATCGAGGATCCTGTGATTGTAAAAACCTATGTTGACATTACGTTCAAACAGCAACAAATATAACTTTCAACGTTTCAAAGTATGGCATCAACAAGTCTAAGTATGGCATTTATGATGAATGTATACTTCTTTGTCATCTAACGTTCAGGGGCGGCAAGGTAGCCTAGTGGTTAAAGCGTTGGCTCGCCTCAACGAAGTCGATGGCAGACCCGGTTCCCCACAACGGCACAATGTGTGAAGCCCATTTCTGGTGTCCCCGAAGCCTGGATATATTGCTGGAATATTGCTAAACGCGAGTCTAAAAAACTAAACTCAGTCAGTCAGTCAGTTGTGATAATCTGATTGAAGCTGCTGTAATTTGCGTGGTTCGTACACTGCCGATAACTTCACACATGTTTTTAGTGCATTTAGTATAAAAACATTGAATGAAATTTTGAATATAATTAATGAAAAGGAATAAGTACATAAGTCTAGATATGCAACACTTATTTTGGCCAGTGTGATTGGATAATTAAATTGCTTATTTAATCTGGGATTTGATGACATGGTATTTATGTTGTTACATGTTCATTGTGGATGTATACACCAGCACAGTACATTGCAGCCACATTGTAACAGTCTAGTTCTAAATAGTTTCCTTCCCTATAGTGTAGTACTACTTCAAGTGCCAAAAAATTGTGTTGTTGCAGCACCAGTGGCCAGCAACAGCCACCTTAAGCATTTGAAGTTATTATCTATTGTTTTTAGACTTGATGTTATCTCCAGCTAGTCTGCCACCAGTGGGCCGGAGGGGTAGCCTAGTGGTTAAGGCATTTGCTTGTCATGTGGAAGACCCGGGTTCGATTCCCAACATGGGCACAATGTGTGAAGCTGGTGACACTGGTGTTTAATGTTCAAGGAGTACCGGAAAGAAGATCATGAGTCTGGAGAAGGCAGAGGAAGAGAAGGAGGCTCTGCAAATGGAGAACATCCGACTACGCCAGGAGATGCAAGACAGGTGGGGCACATGGTGTACAAGGTCAATGGGTGTACAGGTCACAGGGTGTACAGGTCACAACTTAGGTGAAGGTCCTTGGGAGGACTGTGAAGGAGTGGCTTAAAGTGAATTTGAGGGAGCTACAAATGAATATGTGTGGTTCATGTGGTGGTGGTGGTGGAGGGGGAGTTGGTGAGAAGCCAAGGGTTAGGGTGAGTGAGTGGGATGTTCTAGGTAGGACACAGAGTGATGTGGAGAGACTAGGAAGGACGGATGTGCTGAGGGTGAGGTTGGGTTGGACATGGAGTGAGATGGAGAGACTGGGAAACAAGGGACGGTATTAGAGAGATTTGGAAGGATTTAAGGGCCCAGGATGGATTGGGAAGGATTGGAGGGGTATGGGAGGAAAGGAAAGGAGGGTATGGGAGAGACTTGGAAGGTATTGGAGGGCATGGTAGAGCCTTTTAAAGACTAGAGGGGTATGGGAGAGACTTGGAAGGATTGAGGGGTATGGGAGAGACTTGGAAGGAAAGGAGGGTATGGGAGAGACTTGGAAGGACTGGAGGGCATGGGAGAGACTTGGAAGGACTGGAGGGACATGGGAGAGACTTGGAAGGAATGGAGGGGTGTGGGAGAGACTGAGAAGGAATTGGAGGGGTATGGGAGAGACTTGGAAGGATTGGAGGGCATGGGAGAGACTTGGAAGGATTGGAGGGGTATGGGAGAGACTTGGAAGGAAAGGAGGGTATGGGAGAGACTTGGAAGGACTTGGAGGGTATGGGAGAGACTTGGAAGGACTGGAGGGTATGGGAGAGACTTGGAAGGACTGGAGGGCATGGGAGAGACTTGGAAGGATTGGAGGGCATGGGAGAGACTTGGAAGGATTGGAGGGTATGGGAGAGACTTGGAAGGAAAGGAGGGGTATGGGAGAGACTGGAAGGAATTGGAGGGTATGGAGAGACTTGGAAGGATTGGAGGGGCATGGGAGAGATTTGGAAGAACTAGGAAGCAAAGGAGGGGGATGGGAGGGAGACTTGGGAGGACTTGTCTAGGAATGGAGTGGTATGGGAGGAGACTTTGAAGGATTGGGAGGGAGGATGGGAGAGACTTGGAAGGGATTGAAGGGCATGGGGAGACTTGGAAGGATTGGAGGGCATGGGGAGACTTGGAAGGATTGGAGGGGCATGGGAGAGACCTTGGGAAGAAAAGGAGGGTATGGGAGAGATTTGGGAAGGATTGGAGGGTATGGAGAGACTTGGGAAGGAAAGGAGGAGTATGGGAGAGATTTGGAAGGACTGGAGGGAGTATGGGAGAGACTTGAAAGTATTGGAAGGGCATGGGGGAGACTTGGAAGGACTGGAGGGGCATGGGAGAGACTTGGAAGGACTAGAGGGAAGGACTGAGGGCATGGGAGACTTGGAAGGAAAGGAGGGTATGGGAGAGACTTGGAAGGAAAGGAGGGTATGGGAGAGATTTGGAAGGAATGGAGGGGTATGGGAGAGACTTGGAAGGACTGGAGGAGGTATGGGAGAGACTTGGAAGGACTGGAGGGGTATGGGAGAGACTTGGAAGGATTGGAGGGTATGGGAGAGACTTGGAAGGATTGGAGGGACTATGGGAGAGACTTGGAAGGAAAGGAGGGGTATGGGAGAGATTTGGAAGGACTGGAGGGGTATGGGAGAGGATTTGGAAGGACTGGAGGGGTATGGGAGAGACTTGGGAAGTATTGGAGGACATGGGAGAGACTTGGAAGGACTGGAGGGGAGGAGAATGGGAGAGATTTGAAAAGGAAGGACTGGAGGGGTATGGGAGAGACTTGGAAGGATTGGAGGGCATGGGAGAGACTTGGAAGGAAAAGGAGGGTATGGAAGAGATTTGGAAGGACTGGAGGGTATGGGGAGAGACTTGGAAGGACTGGAGGGTGTGGGAGAGATTTGGAAGGACTGGATGGGTATGGGAGAGACTTGGAAGGAAAGGAGGAGAGGTATGGGAGAGACTTGGAAGTATTGAAGGGCATGGGGAGACTTGGAAGGACTGGAGGGTATGGGAGAGATTTGGAAGGACTGGAGGGGTATGGGAGAGACTTGGAAGGATTGGAGGGCATGGGAGAGACTTGGAAGGAAAGGAGGGTATGGGAGAGATTTGGAAGGAAAGGAGGGTATGGGAGAGACTTGGAAGGATTGAAGGGTATGGGAGAGAATTGGAAGGAAAGGAGGGTATGGGAGAGATTTGGAAGGACTGGAGGGGTATGGGAGAGACTTGGAAGGATTGGAGGGCATGGGAGAGATTTGGAAGGAAAGGAGGGTATGGGAGAGACTTGGAAGGACTAGAGAGCATGGGAGAGACTTGGAAGGATTGGAGGGCTATGGGAGAGACTTGGAAGGAATGGAGGGGTGTGGGAAAGACTTGGAAGGATTGGAGGGCATGGGAGAGACTTGGAAGGACTGGAGGGGTATTGGAGAGACTTGGAAGGACTAGAGGGCTGTGGAGAGACTTGGAATGACAAGATGGGTATCGGAGAGACTTGGACGGATCGGACAGCATGGGAGAGACTTGGAAGGATAGGAGGGGCATGAGAGAGACTTGGAAGGACTGGAGGGGCATGGGAGAGACTTGGAAAGAATGGAGGGGTATTGGAGAGACTTGGAAGGACTAGAGGGCTATGGGAGAGACTTGGAAGGACTGGAGGGGCATCGGAGAGACTTGGAAGGATCGGAGAGCATGGGAGAGACTTGGAAGGATTGGAGGGGCAACGGAGAGACTTGGAAGGATTGGAGGGGCATTGGAGAGACTTAGAAGGACTAGAGGAGTATTGGAGAGACTTTGAAGGACTAGGGGGATATTGGAGAGACTTTGAAGGATTGGAGGGACATGGGAGAGACTTGGAAGGACTGGAGGGGTATGGGAGAGACTTGGAAGAAATGTAAGGACTTTGGAGAGACATGGAAGGAATGGAGGGGTGGGGCATGGGAGGCCTTGTTGTGAGTGGAAGGGGATCAGAGAGTCTGGGAGGGACTTGAATGAGGGACTGAGAAGGTCTTGCTGGACTGAATATTCAAATGCTGTGTATGTACTATCGTTTGATGAACACCATTGACACATGTATGATGTAACTATATGCAGAAGGTTTTATGTTGTTAGATATTCAGACACAAGTGCAGATAGCTTTCATGTGAAAGTCAAAATGTCCTACCTTTAGTAGGAAAGTTAAATAGTCCTAACTATTGACCTACCTTTGCAGAATCGACCGCCTCCGTGGTGTAGTGGTTAGATATCTGCCCGGAGAGCGGAAGGTCGCGGGTTCGATCCCCGACCGCGTCATACCAAAAGACGTTAAAATATGGTACTTGTTGGTCCCTGCCTGGCGCTCGGCATTAATGGGTACAACAAGGACTGGTCGGCTCGGAGTCAGTATAATGTGTCTGAGTGGGGTATTCATGCTTCACTGCGGCATGGTATCTCAGTGGGCTAGCACTATAAAACCAGCTTAAGTCTGGGCTAGTACAAGCAGCCGCACATACACATACACACTCATTGATGTCGTCATATGAGCGAAATATTCTCAAGCACGACGTAAAGCCCAATTTCACCTCACCTCACCTCACCTTTGCAGAATCACATCCCTGGACTTCCAGCTGAAGTCTCTCCATAGCCAGCACCAGTCTTCTGAAGTTGAGAACAATACCCGCACCAGTCTGCTGGACCAGACCACATCATGCCTGTCTCTCCTGGAGGAGGAGAACACCAAGCTGCAGAAGGTAGAACACTGCCCCATGACATCTGTCAGGAGTTAAACCAACAACCCATTGGCCAGCTACATCCACTTGTGGTAGTGCAATACACATGGTGGAAAAATGAAGGCATAAAATATTCTTCCTGGCTTATTATTTGTTGCCCATAATGAATTGATTAACTATTTAGTTGAACATTTTCTAGGAATGTAGGGTATGTTTTGTTCCTCTCAGCAAGAATTGTTAGATGGGATAGAGAATAGGGACATCTGATGTTCTCCTTAAGTTGTGGTATTGTAGAAGGTAACTTAATTGCAGCTTGGAGGTCACAAATATTTGAAATAACAGAATGAACAGCACATAGTTTTGATTATTTTTCCTTATCCTGACTCATGCTTAACACTTGAATCCCCTTTTGAAGCTCCCTTAAAAAAAGTGGACGTAAAATCACTTACCCGGTTTTGGCGGGAACAGCGCCACCCGTCTGCCATGCTCTTCACTCTCTCCTGATTCGCCCGAGTGTGCGGTTGTGAGAGCACCTGGTCCCCTATACGGCTTTATATCCTTTTATTATTTAGGCTTTTCTTCGAAATTAGCTGTTTTAGGCTTTAGCTAACGTTTACCTACAATATTGTACAGAATTAATTTCTACGGCCTTCGGAAGAAGCCTCATCCATCTCAGATGCGTCGTCAGTACAACAGACAATGCAGACGAGTGAAGGTCATCTGAGCAGCACACCACGTCCGTTGGGAACCAACGTCCTGCAGAGCATACAGGAAGATTCCAGCTTGACTACAGCGTTCGCACGAATACCTGGCAGCCATACCAACGTGGACTCCACACCAACTACGTTTGACAGAAGGACCAGACGTTCGCCAAACCCACGCAGATCTTCATCAACGTCAGATATGGACGTTCGTCACGAACCTGCACGCAACGGTTCCTTACCAAGGAGAAAAGAATCAACATCCGTACGAAGGCATAGAGATTCGTCACAAGACTCCAACCCTCGACAAAGCCGTTCACCAACACGCAGGTTCGCTCGAAGGCATGCACGGTCGTCTCCATCTCCACGCAGGTCCCCACGTAGGATGTCACGAACACATTCACGAACGTATGGTTCGCCACGAAGGTCACCACGCAGGTCGCCTTACAGATCGCAACGCAGGTCACCACACAGATCGTCTTACAGATCACCTTACAGATCTCCTCGTTCAGACGACAATAGAAGACATCCATCCTCAGAGCAGGAGGATGACGGCGGAATTATATTTTCCAACTCGGAAATCAAGTCATGGATGGCCAACGGTTTGGAACTCGCATCACCCTCTAAGGAGACCAACGAAGCTATATCGTACTTGATGGTGAATGATGATATAGACTCACTCACGATGCCGCCTATCGACCCAGTCAGAGACGTTCCAGACAACCTCAGCACAGCCTTCAAGAAGGCAACTAAATACAAGACTCAGAGCATTCCGTTGTTCAACGCTTAGAAGTTCTCTCTACACCACATGGAACCCTTCATGAAGGCCCCAGAGATAGATGAGAATTATAAGATCATCAACGACACTCAGACTAAAGCTTACAAGATAGAAGATAAAAAGCTGGCACAGTTAGACACAGTAACCAGACGAACCTTCTTCGGCCTAGCCAGGTCAAGAGCTGTCAACGAGGCTCTCATCTCGAAGTTTAAGAATTCAACTTCAGAGGAAGATAGAATGATTTACTCAGCTCTACTTACACAGAAAAAGGATCATCAGTTCATGTCTGAACATCTATCATCCATTTCTGCAGGCTTAACTTTATCAAGAAGGCAAGGACTGTTATCTTCATGTACTTGGAGCGAGAAGTTTACCAAGACACTCTACAGAGCCCCTTGGTCAGCACCATCCATTTTTGCAGGAGAAATTGATGAAGTCGCCAAGGAAGTCGCTAAAGATTCCCGAGAAGTAATGATGATCAAGTCTATCGATACACTGGCCAGTGTAATACGTCAGACCTCTCAAAGTTATTCCGGCAAATCGAAGTTTGCAGGCATCCAGAGTGCAAGGGATAAGAAATCAGGCAACGCTAAAGGAAATAAGGATTTTTTTCGTCGCCCATCCGCAGCTCCAAGAGGTAACAACGGAAGAGGTCGGCCCTTTTGAGGCGCCAGAAGTTCCAGACGATGAAATACAGGTTCGGAGTCTTCCACCCCCAGCCGTTCCAGTACAACCCTCACAAGTGGGTGGACGTCTGCAACTCCACTGGAAGAATTGGGGAATTCTTCAAGACGACTTCGTATCTCAGATTCTACGCACAGGTTACAGGATACAGCTACAAGCAGTACCACCAGTAACAATCAACCCTATGGTTCACAACTACGCTGCAGACCAAAAGGGAAATCTACTAGAAGCCATCACATCTCTACTAGAGAAAGAGGCAATAGAAGAGATAAAACACTGCGTCACACCAGGTTTCTACTCCCCCAATTTTTCTGGTACCAAAGAAAATTCAAAGAAAAGTTCCGACTCATTTACAACATGAGGAAATTCAACAAAAGATTACCTCCTACCACCCGCAAAGTTCAAGATGATACATCTTCCACAGCTACGACAGCTCATACGTCCGCTAGACTATCTCGCCAGCATAGATTTACAGCATACTTACACATCCCGATCCATCAGGAATCAAGGAAATATCTACGATTCCTGTTCAACGGACGTCATTTCCAATGGAAGGTCCTGCCATTTGGAATATCGCCGGCCCCCTGGTTGTTTACTCGAGTGACAAAGCCCATCAATATATATCGACATCGGCGAGGTCTACGCAGTGCGTTCTACCAAGACGACGGGATTCAAGCTCAGCAAGATCCCAGTCAACTCAGACTGCAACTGAACTTCACCATCAGACTTCTCACTCAACTAGGATGGCTAGTAAATCTCCTCAAGTCGGAACTACAGCCTACTCGGGACTTGCAATTCCTAGGAATACGCTTATAAACAATGAAGTATCGTGATTCGCTCCAGAGGATCGTTGGATCAAGATTCAACAAATGATCTCCCAAGTTCTACTCTCTCCGTTACCACTACGAGAATGGCAGAGCCTATTAGGTCTCCTCATGTCATCTCAAGACATGACACGCAGAGGGAGACTACAACTGCGTCCACTACAGAGATTTGTGAATGCCCACTTACACAGTCTGGATCCCTTCGAAATACCAGACAGGCTAAAACCATATCTACTATGGTGGACTCAGAAGTCGAATGTTTGCGGCGGAAACTACTTAATAGAGCCGGAGTGCAACGTCCACCTCTACACAGACGCATCACTGCACGGTTGGGGAGGACACCTCGACAACGAAGTGGTTGCCGGGAAATGGTCGAAACAAGAAATGAATCTGCATATCAACATGCTCGAGATGAAAGCAGTAGTAAATGCCCTACTACATTGGTCCAACATACTAAGGAACGCAAAATTGATGATCCATACGGACAACTCAACAGTGGTGTTCTACATAAACAAACAAGGATCAACAAGATCTTGCAATCTTTTAGACCTCTGCTTTCAACTATTTCGCTATCTCGACCACATCAACCATCCCCAACAGAATGGATGTTACATCCACAAGCGTTCAGATGCATCATACAGACGATAGGATCTCCACTCGTAGACCTATTCGCCACGAGATTCAACAATCAACTGGCAACATTCATCTCTCCAATTCCCGATCCGCAAGCATGGGCGACAGACGCTCTAAGCATCCCATGGGAAGGGCTAAATGCGTACGCGTTCCCTCCGCCAGCGTTAATGACATTTAGCATTAGTTGCTAAATGGGTTTATAGGCAGCATTTACATTCGCACAGCTCTAACACTTCTCTGGCAAGTGAAATATACTTGGATATGTAACGTTTAACTTCACCTTGAATTATGTCATTTCTAATCATCTTCGTTTCGGCATGCAGCTAACACACAGTCGGCAGTGTAGTTCGAGAAATATCTGTTTTAACCTTTAGGTACTAAGGCATATTTTGATAAAATGGGGATGGGTAGAATATACAATTCTTTTGCATAGTATTCATACACTTAGCTTATGATAAGTATCCAGTGTAGCAACGCATAGCGGGCAGTATTATTTCCGCATTCCATAATAGTAGCTACGTCACTTCGGAGTGATGTCACATCCGCAGGCATACGTCACGATCGTTTCCTTTCTATTCTGCATGCTGTCCTGACAGGTTCACCATCTTGCTTCATCACTAATAATTTTTTGATTCTATTTCGGTATCTCACAAAATTCTGTATTAACTTAATACTTAATTAAGCATCCGCTATCGCTTTCCGTCCTTTTCATCTGCATTCTTGATTGTTTTAATAATTGTACAACTTTCTTTCGAGTTCATCATGCCACCAAAGCGTAAGGCAGCCATTAACCACGCTGTGGTCAGGGGCACCCTAAGGTTGCCAGGCCAGGCAAAGGGGCAGCTTCTGGTGTTGTCCCTGGGAGCGCTGCCCCTCAGGCCAACCAACCCGCACCACCCTCTGTGTCCACACCACGTGAGGTTCCCCCGACAACCTATGTGACACCCCCGCTGGAGCCAAGCTTCATCACCCCGATGGCTCCGTCATCCACCAATCAAGGTAGGTCTCACTTTGGGCATATTAATATTTCGCGAGTTGTTGATTTCAAGCTGTGATAGGCCTGATATAGAGTTACAGCCACCGCAGGTCCACCCGCTATGCCAAACTTCTGTATACAGGGGCAACCCTTCTCTAATCGGAGTCACTGATTAATGCAGAGACACTGTCAAATCAACAGCTGAACTTCAGGGCGGAGACTATAAGTTTCCATGTAAAGCAAGCAGTGAGGGAAAAGATCCATCGTGGGGAATTTGTAGACATGAGGTCCCTATTGCCACCAGAGAACCAGGCAGCACAGGAGAGTTCCAACTTCACAATGGAGCTTGACATTTCAGGACAGGTAGTTTTTAAACCCAAGCAGCAGTCTGTCCGTCAGTTAAACATTGGGGCTTGGGCATCTGC